GTGACTGCAGAAAGTCTGTATGAAGGGGAACAAACTGAACTAGTATTCCTACAGCCCAAAGAGAACAAGTCTTGCAGTGTTTGCAAGCTAAAGAGTTTGGTACACAAGCACTACATCTGCTGGTTTTTTTCCTCTGGCAGATGAAATGTATTTATTTGGACTTAAATCTAGTCTCAGCCATGAATTTCAGATGTTGCAGAACATGTGAGTTAACTTGCATTGAAGAACTGCAGCCATGAAAGAGGGTAGTTGTATAACAAAATGCAATTTATTCATATATTACGAGTCTTTATCTTAAAGTAGTTCATTTAAATATTTCAGAAGCTGAGCATCTATGGAGATCTGGAATACATGAATGAACAAAAACTGAACAGATATCCATCCTCTGCACTTGTTGTGGTTAGATGCAAGACTGAGGAACATGAAGAAGCAGGACCTCTTCCTACAAAAGTTAATCTGGCTCAATCAGCAATTTAAATAAGCCTCCATTGGATTGAATAGACTAATTCTAACAGTGCTAGCAACTCCTGATTGTTTGTGGTGGTTCTTCAAATAAGAAGCTTAGCAGCAAGTCTTTAAATGCAGATAAAATTACAGAATCAACAGATGTCATGGGTTTTTTTTTCCCCTCTAGTAGTGAAGATTCAGACACCTTGAATTTGTTTGTTTCCAGACATAATCACTTTTCACTGGTGTTTGCTCTGTGTCTTTTTGCTTACAGAAGCTGTAAGCATGCTTTCCATATTTCTGCCATGACACTTTCAAACTTATTTGTGTATTCTAGGATATACTGTGTACATTCAAGAGTTAGCTCTGTAAAGATATAAGAAATTTTAAGTAGGCAGGAGATGCCTTTTTAGTGTTGCACTTTCTGTTGTAGTTAAGAGAAAATATTATAAAATTATCTGCTGTTCTTTTTTGGGGGGGTGGGAGGGTACTTGTTAATGTTCATGCACAAACAAGCCTTTCTCCAAGAACAGAAATCTATTTTTTCTACCGTGTGGCAATATCCAGGATGGAAAGCATTTGTGAAGTACTGTAGGCTAGAACTCAGTTTGTGGAAGGTGGAAAATGTGTTAAAAAAACATGTGGACGTATGCTTTCACATACAGAACATTATACAGTTAATTAATTTGTCAGACTATAGTCTTGACATCTCAAATTGCTTGTAAAGTTAGAGCCTCTGTTTTCTGAAGGAATTCTACTTTCTGTTCTTGATTAACTATTCTAGTCTTGTAACTTCATATACAGAAACAAGGTGATTCCTGAGAAGTGAGAACAGATGAATAAAAACGACTGTATAGAAATTACTGACTGTACAGCCTTTTGCTATGGTTCATTATTGTTTTACTTCATCTGAAAGACTGTAGCATTCCTCCCGTTGGCAATGTGACCTGATTTTGCTGTGTGTGATTCACTAATCCAACACCTCACAGTATCCTTCATATTTCTAATGTATTTTGTCGTCATTCTTTTCTTTGAGGAGTTGACTACAGCAGATGTATGATTTATTTTAAGGTCTCTTTGTAAGTATTTGAAAACTGACTAGAATGCATGACACCCAGCTCATCAGCATGGTTTGTTGGTTATACCAACTCTTGTGAAAGTTTAAAAACAACCAAACAAACTACTTTCTTCAGGCTTTGAGTTCTGGTGAAAACCTGAGATTCTGGAGAACGCAGTACATCATTCCCTTTCTGTTAGAACTAGTTCAGTAGCCATGGCTGATGTGGCTGCTGGTTGTGTAAGCTACAGGTAATGATCCGTGCAGGAATGTGCATGGTTGCCTATACAGTGCTGCTGGAAGTTGTGTCCTACGTGCATTGGAGCCAATTTTCTGTCAGTGAATTATAAGAATACACAGAGGTTTGTTTTAAACAGGCACATATCAATGTACAGTAACTGTAATTTGAAGTCTTCAGTTAGTAGTACCTCTGGATGTTAAATTCTTCAGGGTGAGCAACATTGTAGCCCAGAAAACTGAGTCTCAGCAGTCATGGACCTGTATCTTTCTTTGTGTGTTGGTGACATTACTGTAAGGCCTCAAACCCTACTGTTCTGAAAACCATTTGTGTGTTCAGAATACCATTCCGTTGCGTGACAGCAGTGGGAAATCCCTGCTATAGTGACTGGGCTGAGACACACAACCTCAGAATGCAGCCCTGTGTCAGTATGCCAGCGTTCTGCTGCTGATGGGATCAGATGTGATGTGTGCAAATGGCTGTTTAAAAACTTGTAAGCATAGGCTCTTCCTTGGTGATTGTAGCCCATGTTCTCAGCAATACTTTGTTCTGAAAAGTCTTTAGCAATCCCTTTAGTTCTTGTAATTGAGTAAGTGACATATAGGTGTGTTTGAGTCTGTTAAAATATTTTAACTTACTGTTGCATGTAGTTGCAGAGGGAGTATTCTGGCTTCACAAATCCATGGCTATTTGTGTGTTTTAAATATGTACATTACAGCCTCTTTTACTTGATGATTTCTTATCTTGATCATGAAACTTTCCTTTCTGTTCCAAAATGTCTGACTTTATTGCTTACATTCCTAGGTTTGAATTAAACAAACAAATTCTGCTTTCATTTGGCATTGTGTCTGCCTACAGGTCTACAACAAAGGGAGAAAACTCAACAAATTGATCAAATAAAAGTTCTATGTGTTTTGTCATTTGTTGGCTGTTTAATGGCATTTCAGTAGTGTGTGCAGTGACACCCATGATTCAGTAATGTGCTGTTAGGTCACAGGAAACTATGCCTGTATACTCTGACACTTAGCTTGCCAAGTGCACCAGGATCCAAAGAAATTTTTAAGTGGACTTGTAAGCTCATGTCAAAGCACCTTCCTTTAGTATAATTGGATATGAGCTAGGTTGCAGTAATTGAACTATTTCTCAAGATTTCAAATCTAAATGGAGTATTTAAGCTGTTTTAGTGTTGGACTTTGCAAAATAGTTTCTCTTTTTTTTTTATGTTTAACTTCCTAACATCTTTGTTCTCAGAGGCTGCAATTTGGGTTTGATCTCTGCCCAAGACCACTATTCAAATGAAGGGCCTTAAATGATTGAAATTGCAGGAGGAAAGCATTTTCTATTCTCTTTAGGCATATGTTCAGTTGAACTTGCTTCAGCTCTTAAATTCAATCATCTTGACATGAGCAAGGCATCTGTCTCAACATGTGCAATTCATTGCTGCTAGAAACAGCTATGGTACGTTTTGGGGAGGGGGGTTAGGTTTTGTGGTTTAGGTGATGGAATCAGCAGTAGTCTTGCATCGTACATGGTATGTTCATCTTTGTTCCCTTGCCAGCCTCCCTGATCTTTGGCAAAGATCTTGAACTTGCTTGTGTTCGTTACCGTGCTCTCATTAAAGTCTTGAATTCATGGTCTGATGTGGTGTAACTGCTCACAACCCAACTACCTGCTTGGTTACAGCTGAGCTTGATAACCTCCATGTAGGAAATAGGTCATGGTGGGTGTCTGGTCTCACAGGCATTTCCTTCTGAAAGCTGTTTTACTCCAGGTCTTCAACATTTTCATTACGGATTGTTTTGTGGGGTGTGCATGGGAAGCCTGCTTGGTCTGGTTGTTACATGTGACTTTAACCAAGCTCATTATCACCTAAAAAGCTATTTTAAGGCTTAAAATATTCGCTATAGCCATGATTAGAAATCTGAACTTTCTCCATAGAGGGAAGCAGATCTGGAATTTGATAGCATTTTTAACCTTTTATTTATTTCTCTTCCACGTTGTGGGTGCCTAGAGTTGCAGGCTTGGTGTACTCAGAATTCCCCTCTGAAAAGGACAGCTTCCTGGCACAGAATTTAGCAGTGATACATTCCTGTGAGAAACTTCTGCTTGGGACAAGTGAGTGTTGCTGTGTTGGAGGAAGAGGTCCTCAAGGTTGTGTTTGATTTTGGAAGTTCTCTGAGCGGGTGTGTATGGGGTTGGCAGGTGTTGTCAGGAAACATGTAATAACTCAGGAATAATTTGTGTGTTTGGGGATGGAGAAGGAAGTAGCAACAATTGTTAGTCCGTGTCAGGCATTATTTGTTGTTTTGAATCAGTTAATTTAGTGAGACTGTCTTGGTGCCAGCTTTTAGGTAATACAGCTGCCAATTTCTCCCAAGTCCTGGTAAAGTATTTCTGTGGGTGCTTGGGCTGAGGGTGATGGTGGGGGGTGATGTTACTTCCAGGGTGGCAATAATTCAGAGTGCTTGAGTCTCCAAGTGCAGGAGCAAACTCTTCTGTGAGAAAGTGGGACATGAACCTCTGCAGTTTTGTCCTTGAAACTGCAAAGCCCTATGCTGAAACCTGCAGACAGTTATGAGTGGTGCAATCTATTTCAGGCAAGCTACAAGCTGCGCTAAGGATACAGGCCTGAAAATCCATGTATGGAAGTAAAGGAGAGGATGCCAAAGTATTTGCTATGTCTGTGCTTATTGCCCAAGCAAAAAGCTATTCTGGATGAGTGTATCCTGTCCAGCTCTTGCAGGAGCCTGGGGTTATGCAGCTACAACGCTAGTGGTTTAGCCCTGGTTTGGGAAGAAGCTGGGGAAAGGTGTTTTGGGTGAGGGTGATCTGACTCCATTTCCTCGGGCGTTCAGTTCATTCCCTTCAGTACCTGACTGGCACCAAGGTGAGTGCAAGCTGCGTCAGCTGAGGCTGGGCATTTTTCTTCCACATGTCAGGAGAAGCAATGGGGTTGTCAGCATGGGAAATTTCCGTTTGCCTCATACCCTGTCATGAAGCCAAGGTGGAGCTGGGAGGAGAGAGAAGCAAATGAAGCCCTGCTTCCAACCAGAGAAGGGGCTCAGCTGGCCTGCCCTGTCCTGTGCACATGTCTGGGCAGCACAGTGCTTCTTGCTTTCCTTCCTCTGTTGCTTTTTGTGTCCTGGTAACGTTGCTTATGTCAGAGACAGTATATGCTGGTAACATGGCTGCATTTTAGGGTGCAGAAAGCTTCCTGTGGTCCTCTGAGCTGCTCTGAAGGCTGTAGCTCCAGGAGGAATGAACAAAATTCACCCCCAGGTACGATCCTCTTCATGAAAATCTTGTGTTACTTCCCTAAAATTCATGTGTTCTTGATAATGTTGTTTGTCTGACCTCTCTATCAGTGGCTTCTAAGTTTTCCAGTCCTGTCTACTTCACCTAATTTGATATGAAAGGGTATCGATACAATGTTACTGGCATCAAGTGCTGGCCTTGCCTCAGTGTTTGTTGTGCAAATGGGTTACTGAGATCTGAAAAGCAATCTGATTGCTCTGTGAACCAAATGCGGGCTGTGTTTCCACTAAGGCAATTTTTGTTTGCATGTAAAATATATATATCAGTATTTATCCATGTACTCATTCCTGGGTGAGACGGTACCAGAACTAGAAAAGCAAACATTGTGTGCTCATGTGCTACGTCTGGAAATGGTGTTTTATTCTTTACTTCTAGAGAAATGGTGATGTAACTACTTTTGATTCAGCCAATTCCTTCTCTGAGGAACAAGGTAACAAAATGCCGAGCTTAACATTTTTGTTATTGAAATCTAAATCAGTGGAGCCTATCTCTGTAATGTAAAATGCAGGAAGTATTTATGGTGTGTTGAGACTGTTGTGTTTTTTTTTTTTTCCCACCCCTCTGTAGTGAAACATCCTGACTACAAAATTAATAGACTTAAGATGCTTTTTGCTGGCCTGGAGGTGGCAGACTTATGGTATAAGCATCATGATATGTGTTCCCACCTTTTACAAAAGAGGCTCGTTATGAAATTTCTATAGGCTTTCTATATGTTTTAATAGCTAGGCTTCAGCAAATTTTATCCACTTTAAGAAGAAAGTGAGATCACATGCAGTTGATAATAAGTCTGTAGATTGGCTTGCAACAGCATTTCCTCACTGCCATTAATTTATACTTGTGCTTATTTGCAGCCATTCTGCCTACTGGTCTAAGGTATTGTCCTGTGAACTGCAGCATGTCTACCACTTACCTTTTAAGCTGCAGTGTTCTGCCTTTGATTCTTGCTTGTGTTTGATGTGGGGGATGGTTACTGCTTCCTCAAATCCCTTTGCAGTTGAGCAAATGGTGTGTCTTATATTCGTACAGCACATAGCAATTAAGTACATGAGGTACAGCTAAGAAATCCTGGCTTTTAGATCAAAGCTCGTTACCTCCCACCTTTGCCTCCCAACAGGCTGCTGCCGGCCATGCTGTGCCCACCTGTGCTGCCCACCGAGACGGGCCTGCGTTGTGCTGCTGCTCCTGGCTGCCATAGCAGCCATTGTGGGCCTGGCAATCGCACTGGGACTGCAGCTGCATGCACCGGGTTGGTCCCCAAGAGTCATTATTAGTGCAGTGAGGGAGGTCTGTTGCTCTGGGGGATGTTCCTCATACCAGCTGTGAACATGACAATGTCAGAAGATAGTATTTCTTGCTTTCCTTTCAGTGAACCGCCCCTGCGTAGCCACCCATAACTGGACAGGCTTCTTGTGCAATGACAGAGTGACCTGCATCCCAGCCAGCCAGGTCTGTGATGGAACTGCCAACTGCAGAAATGGAGAGGATGAGCAGGAGAAACTCTGTGGTGAGCTGTTTTGTTATGATCCTCCCATACTGGTCTTGTTATTGATCTCCAAAGATCTGCCTCACCTACAGGGCCAGTCGTGAAACACTTTGGTGCTGCCTGTCCCTGTTTTGACAGGTACATCTGTACCTGCAGGAGCTCAGCCTCTGCCCTTGCAGGTGACCTGCCCCGCAGCCTGCCGGCATACCTGGTTTTCCACTGTGGTAACCCTGAGTACTGGGTCTATGCTGACCAGAGGTGTAATGGGATGAACGACTGTGGAGACTGCTCTGATGAGATGGGGAGCTGTAAGTCTGCCTTTGGGCTGCACTCAGGGAAAGATCTGCTGGTAGTTTGAAGAGGTTTTGCGGGGTTGGTGCTCTCTGGTGCTCCTGGGAAAGTCTGCAGGCTGGTGTCCTCTGAAACGCAAAATAGAGACAAAACATGTGGGCTTCTTCACATCTGTTGCCAAAGGCTGGAGGTAGTTGAGAAGGGAGAGACTCCATGCTTCAAAAGGCTTTTCCAATCTAAATGGCACTATGATTCTATGGCTGTGATGCTTAAGGCACATGGTGTAGTGGTGGGACTTCTCAGGTTGACATGACTTGGTAATCTTTAAGGTCTTTTCCAACCTAAATGATTCTTTGATTCATTGTTCCCAGCCCCAAAAGTCTTTCCATCTTTGTGACTTGCTGAGCACCAAGTAATTTCATCTCAATGTGGATCTGTAGGCAGCACCAGTTATTCAAAACTGGTCTTTGGTCAGGACATAAGTTTGTCCCCTAAGAACCTAGGGAGACTGTGTGCACTTCTGTAATTTAAATCCAGCTCTGCTCAAAATCAAGTAGCAGGTTTGTTCCTAGATCACCCCTGAGATTTTGAACCTCAGACACCACCTTTCTCTAGGGTAGCTAGCTAAACAAACAAATTACATCTGGTCATTGCTCCCAGGATGCCATCTCTGCCACAGAGATCATCGCAGTGTCTTTTTGGTCGATTCACAGACTCAAGGTCATCCCTGGTGGCTTCTCAGTAGCTGCTGTGGAGTTGAATGATGTAAGGAAGGAGGTGCCTGTGAGTGCAGCAGCATTTTTCTTCCTGGTTTCTTGTCCCCACAGTGGCTGCCTGCCCTCCCTGCGGCCCAGCATGGTGGAGCTGCAGCCCTGTTCACCACGAGTACTGCTCCTGTGTGCCCAGGGCACTGTGCCGGGATGGTGTGCAGCACTGCGTGAGCTGGTCAGACGAGTACCTCTGCAGGCCGTGAGGTCTGGGCACCAAGAAGAGTTAGACAAGGCGAGGTGCTTCCTGCACTGTCACTTCCTGCTGTGCCACCACCCTGGAACTCTGGCATAAGCAGGCCCAGGTGAGCAGCTGCAAAAGGCCTGCAGCAGAGATGGGTGCTGCACTGCTGGCATCCCGGTGCTGCAGGCTGGGCATCAGCTGTGGGACACCTTCATGGGTTTTCCTGAGCACATGCATCTCTTGGGGCTCTGAGGGTGCAGAGTGGCAGGTTGATGCTTAATGAGCAGCTGTTGGACTGAGATGTGTTATAGTGCAGTAAGAAAGTGAAAAAGGAGGGAAACAAAGTCTGTTGCAGCCTTGGAGCTGTGAGCAGAGGAGAACCAAGAGCTGCTGCCAGGCCATGGGATGACATGGGATCTGCTCAGTTTGCTCCTCTGCCACTGCCACAGGACCAGCCAGCTGCCTTCACAGCACCCACGAGATATAGATACAGATGTGCCATTGAAATGTAAGAAAGCTGTGGTCTTCCTATGTTCTTTTGAAAACCTCGTCTATGTCTGAAACATCAATCCCAGATTTAGTGTTCCAGGCCCAAAAAAAATCACTGGGCACTATTCTTCCTGCAGGTCATAGATCTTCAAAAATAAATCCTGGTTCACTCGTTTCTTCTCTGTCCTGTGATCTGTAACTCGGCATCTCTCTATGACTTGTATAAATGTGAATGTTTGTTCTAATTTGTAGCTGGGATACAGCCATAGCTCTGAAAGATCCTTTAAAAATAGCTGCACTGTGTTCTGACTCATGCTTTACCTAGAATGAAACGGCAAAACTCAGCACAATGGTACTATGGAGATGTTTAGAGCCATGTTTAATAACCTGCCTGTTTCCATGCCACGTAGGATGGGTGGCTTGCTTTCTCTGTGTTGGTGCAACATCACTGCAGTGTGCTCAGTGCTGCAGCTCAAAGAGTGGTTGAGAGTATCTTAGGTAAATGTTTCTGACGTTCAGGCTACCACCCTGTCAGAACATGAGATAGAGCTGCACAGTTTTGCTAGAAAAATCACTGGCATCTAACACTGCAATGAGGCTGATTTGGGGTTGGTAAATCCTGGCTTCTTGTAGTTGCTGTGGTTGGGAGGAGGATGCTGCTCAGGCTGGGCCACGTGGCGCTGCTGGATTCCCCAGTCCATGTTTGTCATTTGGTGCAGCAGCTCCCCTCCTTGGTGGTGGATCTGTGCCTTAGAGCTCTAAAGTGAGATCAAGGGGTTGAGGACGGAGCAGTAAATGTGCTCGAGTCATCCTTGGATAAAATGTGCACAAGGGTGTGTTGAAAAGGGCAAGTCTGCCAGTCAGCATGAAGAGCTAAGGAAAGGGCTAATTTTATCAGGGATGGAGAACATAAGCACAGTGCTTTAGAACGCCTCTTTTGAAAAGTGAGGTTATACTGTATTGCTTTACTGATGCTCCTGTGACCTGACAGACCCTCCGTGCCACATCACACTATGCCTATTTGGTGTGTCAAAGCTCCAGCTCCCAGCTGCTTGACTGTGGTGAAGCAGTGCACACAGTTCTATGAGGTGGACATCTCTTCATGGTCACATTAACAGATGGTAATTGTGGAAGGTCTAGCAAAGCAAAAGCAATCCATGCTGGCTGATGAACCATACTGCAGCTGCAGGAGCTGCACTGGGCCTGAGCGTCACAGCCTGTCAAGCTGTTCTGCTCAGTCACTGTTTGTGCCGTTATTTGCCTCAGAAGAGGGCTGATGTCTTCAGTGGATGCTATAAATAGTTTTGAGTTTCTGGGAAAAAATGTAGGGCTTGAATGTAAGAAAGCTTGTTTGTTTGTAGTCCTTTCTTTGAAGAAACTATAGCAGTAAAGGAGCAAAGAGAGAAAGGCTCTTCTCTCATCTCTACACATTCTAGAGGCAAAATTCCCTTTCTTGGCATCTTTGCCATTTCCAAGGATGCACTGTTTGTGTTTGTCACTACTCTGATAAACGCTGTGTAAGAGATCCTCTAAATAAGCACTAATAGAGAAAACCTATTTAAGTTCTCAGCCTTAAAGGACACAAGGAACCTCTCGGGCCCAGTTCAAGGCCACTGTGTACCTTAGCCAGTTTTGATTTGATTCCTGTCTGTGTGTTTCTGTGACAAACCTGTAGCATTACAGCTGCACTCCTGGCTTTGGGCAGACAAATGCAAAATGATTCTGAGCATCTGTCCTCTGTAGGCATTTGCTGGATGTTTTAGATGGTCAAGTATAGATAGCATATTACAGGCATGTATAAATACTGAGAGTAGGTTTTAAAGCATAAAATGCATGTGGAATTAGCTTATAATACAAGATATGCTATATTACAACTGTAGAGTTTAATCTCTACTGTAACCAGCATTCATTCAGCATTCATTTCTTGGATTAAAAGGAGGGATACAAGGGACTTCTGTTTGGATTTCTGCAGTAACTACATAACCAAGGGGAGTTACTGTCTCTCTGCTTTGTTCCCTCCCCTGGGGTCTGTGCTTATCCTGTTTGCTTCCTCCCTTTGTCAGAACTGTCAAGAACAGCTTCATGCTTACAGGCTGAGCTTTCTGTACTACCAGCACTATTAAAGGCCCACTGCACTTAACATGCATAGTGCACCTTTATTTCATCTAGGTTGATTAGTCTTCTGCCACTAAGGTGACAAGAGGGGTGAAGGAATAGGACCAGCATTTTGTGAACATCTATGCCAGAAAAATGAGTTAAGGATGACACTAAAAACTTTATTTGAAAAAAATTATGTATTGAAAATATACAGTAGAATCACCATTCTCTTCATTGGTCCTGCCCCTCCCTCCCCAAGCATAGGTTAACCCACAAGCCTATCAGAACAACCAGATGTAACAATACTGCTCTCCTTTGTTACTGCCTTTCAATGCATCTAAACTCTGTCATCAGCAAGAAAACAACAAACAAAAGACCCTCTTCTTTCTGACTCAGTAGGTATTTAACAAATCCCAGTCCCCCACAGTGAGGCACAGATGCTTCTGTTTAGAAGTCCTTTCTCTCTCTTGTTCTGCCAAAGCTCTCTTTTTATTGTTCTTTAATTCATGGCTGCCTGCAACATCCTTTTTCAAAGGTAAATGGCAGTTTTGAACGTCTTCCTTATAAAACTGTAAGTTTCCAGATGCTTTTGTTTCTGCTTCCACCAACTTACATTTGACCACTTCCTCTATTCTGCGTGTCTTGCCATCTAGAGAGGGGGAAAACAAAAGTTTAGATTTAGGGAAAATTAGGATTATGCTGTAAAATACACACTTACGTTGCAAGTTATTCTAGCTAAGCCAACCTGGAACACTGCTCATAGACAACGATAAATATGTGGTCTGTATGCAGTTACGTACAGAAGCGTTGAGCTGCTGTTCTGGATCTCAAGTCTTCTTGTGGCTTCATGGCCTCCATAACTGCCTGCTCCCACTGCAGAACTGTCTGAAATAAGATTTGAAGGAGTCGTTGTAATGTTTATAGAAATATTACCAAGAACTACTCTATCCCTTATTATATTCTATTCAGTGATTTAATACCCCAGGGGTATTAAATTAGTACAGTTTCCATAGAGTAAAATAGATTTAAAGCTCCATACCTGTTCTGCCCATCCCTCTGTTTTGCAGTTACTATGATCAAATTCTTTCAGAGGCACTTTTGATTGAACTAAGCCTATCTGTGTTTGGATCCGCTTAACAACAGCATTCACATCCTAGTGAATAAGGAAATAAAGCAGTCAGAGGGGTGGAGCATTTAATTGCACTTGTCCAATAAATTAAGCTCTCTCACCTTGAGGCCTGTCCCAGAAATGTCCAAACAGTTCAACTTCTTGAAACAAAGAACGTATCCAATTCCCACATCTGTGATTTTAGGGTTACCTGTAAGGTTAGTTAAGTTGCAGTATGTGGAGAGTTATGGTCAGAAAACCAGGAAGCTATTTGTTCAAAAGCTAATATTTGAACATTTTTGGCCGTTTTTTCTTGCTGTATGCTTGATGTTTGGAAACTGAGTCAAATCTGGTATTTTTCCTCTAATAATCAAAGACAGGTTTTACAATACTACTTCACATTCTTAAAGATATTTATGTTAAGTGGCAAGTGGCTGGACTTAGAGGTATGACCTCTGCCTTGTGGAATGTTATTGCTGAAACCTGGGGTTGGGTACTTGGCCTGTGGGAATTGCTAAATTACATGTATTCCATCAATATTAAGAAGAAGTTCTTCACCAAATAGGACACATTTTGCTACTAATACTATACCACAAAGCACTTACAAGACAAATCTAACACCAGAAGATTCTGAAGTCCCTTTTTCAGTACTCGTACTGGTGCTGTCATTCTGCGAAGGCCCGCGTCTGACAGAGCGTTGTCTTTCAGGAGGAGTCGTTTCACACTGAGAGGAGAAACACAATGAATACAGTTTATAGTCACGTTACTTAGACAGTTTTGCAAATTGTCTTAAAGTCCATGTGGAAAGTTGGGGCTTTTCTTGAACCAGCTCTTCAGTAGATGATAAAAACTTAATAAATAATTAAAATAGCAAGAAAGAAGCTTGGGTTGGTGGGGGAAACACATATTGTCATATTCCTGCTAGCTCAATAGACTCATTTGCTTGACCAGCTATTCCCTGAGCTCCAGCAACAAGCCAGCCCTCCAGCATGAGTATTTACTACTAGAGACAAGAAGGTTGTTTATTAAGTGGAGTTATTTAAATTAGGACTGTCACACTCAAGACTGTGAAAAGAAAAATGCTTGGTGAAATGGGAGAGGACAGATTTGTTAAAGGAGGTGGTCATGATGTTTAGGTGAACAATATGGTATTACCACAGATGAACTCAGGGAAAACCACAGCCTTAGAACATTCTTCAGAGCACTTCAAGACAAAATCTTGCCTCTAAATACACTGAAGTTTTTACACTAATATAATATCCTTAATCAGTGGCTTTTCTGCCTTCCGATTTCCCAAATCTTCTACTTTCTAATCTTTAGAAAATAAAATTTGCAATACTGTTTGATACTAAACTGTCAATTAATGAAATATTAGGCTTAGTGCTTGCAGAAATCTCCATCTGGCACACTGGTTAAAATTTTGGCTGATAAAAGTTCTCCTTTAAATAAGAAAATAACTGTGTGAAGCTGTTCCAAATGCTCAAGGTGCATTTATTTTAGCTGACAACTGAAAACTACAAGAAGTTGATTCAAACACGAGCAGTAAGTTAACTTGCACATTGGTAGGACCTTTGAGATTCAGTGTGTCCTTTGGATCACGTGCTTTGTGTACAGTAAATTCTGTGTTTTGTTTATCTCAGGTGCAGGTTTTATCAACAAACCAAATCTTCAGACTTAAATGCTGCTGCATGTAAAATTGTTTTTTAAAGTCACAGCATGATTCTTTGAACTGTTTAGTAGTAGCAAAAGCAAATGTCATTTTTTCATACACGTCAAGCAATTATACCTCGACAGAGCCTCTTTAGTGAGGTGTTCCAAAAGTTCATGTTCATCTCCAAGTTTACAACAGGAAAGATCCAAACACGTCAGCTCCCGGAAAGACTTGATTTCTTCTAGCTTTTCAGAGATAACCAGACATCTGTAAGGAAGAAAAAAGTTATCACTGTTGAGGAACGTTACAGGGGTCCTGTGTTCTCAAATGCAAGCATAATGCAGTTATTTCTCACACATCTGTGTAGAAGTTGACAGAAATTAGCCAGCTGTTGTAACTACCTTTTGAACACTGCATTCTGCCTACAACGCACCTGAGCTCCCATTCTTCTTCAACTAATATCACACTTTCTTTGACAAAGTACCAGACTAACGATTAAGACTTCAACTTGCAAGCATCGTTATTAGGGGCTTATTTACAGCTCATTACCATATAATTTCAGGATAACATAGATTACCTTAAATCTTCACAAACTGCTCTTCCTTAGCATCCAGAAAGCGTGTAGACAAACCAACAGGTATAAAATCTGTTTCAGATGCATCAGAACGGCTTGCCAAATGATAAAAATGTTACTTTCTTCATACATGAAGTACTTCACTAAAGAAGTAGAGCAGTTCACTAGCTGGACTCCATCGTGACACCCACAGAGCTGACTCCAACCAGAGTTGTGGCTACACCCCAGGCAGCAGTTACACAGTGGGTTATTTTTTTTTAGCTGTGTTGGTTCCCTGATCTGATTCACTCTGCAGCCACGCAAGCATCTGTGCTGGAACTATTCAGCAGGAGATTTAGAGACGGGAATGCACTGAAGAATGGAATGCACAAATACACAGTAATATGAGTTACCCCCATCTCTCCTGCATTTATGGCAAGACAGTCCCTCAATCCACTAATATCTCTCGTATTTCCCTCATAGCCCCCATGTCAAGGCAATCCCTGAGGATAACATTTTGAGTGGTGAAATTAGGGGTGCTAACTATGATCCCTGAAACCTTTTTGCCCATACAAGTAAGAGCATTTTCTCTGTGCTGGTACCCATATTAAAGCACTCCACCAAATCCCTTTGCCACAGAACTCAGCCAGGTGGGAGACAGTACATGCAGTTAGAATGCAAGACAGTTCTTGATAGGTAATACAAGCTCAGAGGGCTTACTAAGAGTGAGCTCTTAGAAATAAGACTCATAAAAAATGTCTTAGTGTCTTACTTCCTGGATTTCAAAGATTTGATATTTAACTCAGCTTTTTGTAATGGTAAAATATGCCAGAGGTAATTCCATTTCTGAATGAAGCTCATAAAAAGTACCTGTACTAAAAATAAAGAGGGAGTACGTTGAAGGGATAAAACGAGGTAATTGACCCCTGCTCAAACATTCCTGCTGTGCTTAAAGCACCCTTGGCACTTCAGATAAATGTGCCTGTCCTTTGATTTTAAACTGAATAAACCACCCTTTTTTAAAATGTATAGATGGAAGGCAGACTCACTGTATCACTGTCCAAGACCTCAGTAGGTGCAAAGCTTTAAAAACATGTCCAGTTTTAAGCTTGTTGAGACACTCTAGTAGTAAAAGAAATTGGGGACATTGACAAGGTGGAAAAAACAGCGCTGTATTCTAATCAGAACACCATTAAAGTATGTTCAGTATGGGGACAGGAACCACAATCACCACTGAAGTAAAATCTGCCTGACTTCAAAAGCTGTACCTCACCTACAAAATTGTGTCTTCTGCTGAAAATGAAATGAGCTAGAAAATGAAACAGGATTGGAGAGAGTCCAGAGGAGGGTCACAAAGATGATCAGGGGACTGGAGCACCTCCCCTATGAAGACAGGCTGAGGGAGCTGGGCTTGTTCAGCCTGGAGAAAAGAAGGCTGTGGGGTGACCTCATTGCAGCCTTTCAGTACCTAAAGGGAGCCTACAAACAGGAGGGGAATCAACTCTTTGAAAGGGTAGATAACCGCAAGATGAAGAGAAATGGTTTTAAGTTGAGGGAGGGAAGATTTAGGTTGGATGTCAGGGGGAAGTTCTTTACTACAAGAGTGGAGAGGTGCTGGAACAGCTGCCCAGGGAGGTTGTGGATGCCCCTGGAGGTGTTCAAGGCCAGACTGGATGGGGCCCCGGGTCTGGTCTGGTATTAAATGGAGGTTGGTGACCCTGCCTGTGGCAGGGGGGGTTGGAGATTCATGATCCTTGAGGTCCCTTCCAACCCTGGGCATTCTGTGGCCATTCTGTGATTCTGTATGAATAAACCCACATGGTCTGCAAGGGTGTGCACAGTCACATAAGTATGAAATGCGTATAAACAGCAGCTACAGAAACATCCCATGAAATTTCTAAGGAGGCACTTGAAAGGTAATGGTACAAAAGGAAGCAAGCAGCATTCGACAAGGCAGGGCTCAAAATGAGGTGGTACCATAAGGCCCCAGAGATTAAAAGTTGTGGTCGAGAGGAAATAAGAGAACTTGAAGCACACCAACAAGAAGCTCAGCGGACGCTGATGTGTCACTGAGTGCACCTACCTGTTCCGCAAACACAGGGAGCACAGCACCAAGCTGCCGTACGCTTCAGTAAACTTCTGCAGAGCTCGCAGTCCCGTAACGGGTTCTGTGAACTTCTGCCTTGCTTCTGCGGCTGAAAAGAGCTTTTCAGCAATCTGCTCTGGGAAACCGACCAGCGAGTCGATGTGGTCGACGTTGTCGGAGATGTAGCCCAGCACCAGGCTGAAGAGGGACTTGGCCGAGTAGCGGAGGTTGCCCTCCTTGGTGTACGTGAAGATGAAGTGATCGGTTCTCGGCCTCCTCGCCCTGTCGTCCTCCCCGTTCAGACACAGCTCCACAGAGAACCCTCCGGAGAACAGCCTGAGAGGCCTCGCGCTCTGGATGCCGCCCGCAGCCGGGCTCACCACGTGCAGCCGCCCACGTTCACGCACGTAGATCGGCCCGGCATCCGCGTGGCTTTCCGAGCGGAGCCAGTAAGACATTCCCCTCGTCCCGTCCTGCAGAAAAGAAGCCAGATGCGGGCAAAGCGCCGCCGGGGAGGCTGGGGAAAGGCCTCGCAGCGAGCCCGGGAGCCCCGAGTGCGAGCAGGTGCGGGGCCCGCCTGCCGGGCACGGGGGGGGCACGGAGGGGGCGGCACGGGGCGGGGGGCAGAGCCGGGCGGGAGGCGGCGGGAGGCTCCGCGAGGAGCGCCGGGGCTCCGCTCCGCGCCGCGCCCGGAGGCTGCTGAGGGGCACGGGGGCGATCGCTTCCCGCGGATCCCGACCCCCGCCTACCTGCCCCGCGGGGCCGCCCCGACGCGCCGTCACCCGCCCGGGCCGCGCCGCCCGCTCCCGCCGCCCATCCCGCGGCGCCGGCGGCTGAGGGCGGGGCGGGGCCGCGCCGGGGGCGGGGAGCGGGGAGCTGGAGGCGGGGCCGTACCGTACCGTGGCCGTACCGTGGCCGGGAGCCGGCGGCTCCGAGCCGGGCCTTCCGCTCGGGTTTCCCTTCTGCCTTCCCCGCTCCCGGGCGAGGATGCGGGCCGTCGACTGGTGCTTGAGCGCGGCGGGCGCTGCCCTCGTCATGGCCACCTCCAGCGACCCGCGGCACCCCGCCGGAAACATGGCGGACGGGTGAGGGCTGCGGGCTGCGGGCCGCCGGGCTCCTGCGGGCGCGGAGAGCCGCATCGCTGCGAGCCGTGCGTGGTGCCGCTGTGCGGCGTTCGTATCGCTGCGAGCCGTGCGTCGCACCTCTGCACGGCCTTCCTGTCGTGTCGCCTTTCTGTGGCCTGAATTCCGCAGCCCCGTTGTCACACAGCCCAGTTCGGGGTTACAGCAGCCCAAAGAAAGAGGCTTTCCCGTTCTTTGCTCTGTTCCTTGAGGGGGGAGATCTCTTGGAAGGTGGCCGTAAGCGAAGAGCCGCACGGGGTGGTTCTGTGCTGTTTTCTCCACAGAAGTTCCGAAACGTTCTGGACGACAACAGGGATGTTCCCACAGGAGTTCGTCGTTGGCTTTCCCAGGTGTGTGACCATCAGCAGAGTGGCGATCCAGTGCTACCTGGGTAAGGGCTCCTGGAGCAGCACAGGGCTCAGTTGTTCAGGGCATACATGTCTGCTTATCGGTACGTCCTCACAGCGCCGTCTTATTTTTGAATAGTCACATTTAGCACGTTAATACATCACAGAACTGTTAAGGATGGAAAAAACCTCTCAGATCCCCACCCCCCCCATGCCCACGTCCCTCACAGCCACATCCCCACGGCTCTGGGACACCTCGTGGATGGTGACCTTTCACCGCTCCCTGGGCAGCTGTGCCAGTGCATCACTGCTCTCCCTGAGAAGAAATATCTCCTGACAGCCAACCTGAACCTCCCCTGAATAATAAAGATACAGCTTAACAAAACACTTGTCCTCCACGTCTGTTTTGCTTCTGTGGATGTATCAGAAAAGGTGGAAAATCGGCCCCACCTGCATACTGTATTATTACGGCACCTTGTGTTTACCTGAAGGTTACCTTCTGTAGCACAGTGATGTCTGATCCATTTTACGGACAGAACTGCAATACTTACTGTTTTAATGATTAATTCTGAACATTGACTTTTATAATTTTACTTTTTAAAGTAAAGACCGAAAGGACTGACCTGAGGTCAGAGCATGGGGACGGGCCTTGGCCACCAGCTGGCAACTTGTCATTGGTTGTCTGCCCTCAAACATGAGCGTGGTGGTTGTCTCATAGTCCTATCCCCTGTGTTAGAGCAGGAACTATATAATATAAGATGCTTTGTAGATGAAACATCATGCAATAAACATAAAGAACAGTAAACCTCAGGGCTTATGTTGATATTTTAAATGCGTGTGAATTTTAGTGCGGACCTTAAGGATTGAAAGAAGCGTGTCTAAAGACCCAGTGGACTTTGAAGAGTGCATTGAAAAAGGTAAGGTTCTGAGCCCAAAGTGGTGGCAGTTTGGTGGGATTGATGTCCATCTGTGCACTTCCTGATTCACTTGTGTCAAGGCTTTTGAATAACAAAGCTCTTGTTGGGCAACCAAGGAATGATTCTCGTTGACCTTTGTCAATAATTTGCAAAAAATAAAACTTCCTAATGAAGCATGAATTTTTATTATTTTTCCTCTAGAAAAACAAGGGAGGTTAACACTAGGGTATGTACCATGGCAGGCATTCAAGAACAAAAGTCAGAGAACCATAGGATCATGGAATGGCTTAATTTGGAACAGACTTTAAAGATTACCTAGTTCCAATCCCAGAACAGGGTCATGCTTTGGTAGAGCCTTGTCCCCTACATTTCTTTTGTTAAGTTCAGTTAGTGTTGGTTTGTCTTTTCTATGATGTATTTCACAGGAATCCCAATTTTCTTGCCGAAATTCTTGTGACATTATTCTGTGGGGTAGTTCTTGCAATAAGGTATTCACGTTTTGACAATAGTTGCCTGACACATTTCAGTGCTGATTGGAGGGATCTCTCTCTTCTTGCTAAGTAGTATCAAATTTTTGGAGTTCCCCATCTGTATCTTTGAACATCCACTGAAAACATGGATACTGGAAAATAGCCAGGCTTCCTCTCATGTAGCCTCGTGCTGTGTAGTGCCATTTTCTTAACTTGAAAACGGCTTTTTTGGATGGCTGATGGTTAACAAATGTACTGGGTAACAGTACGCTTTCTTGTAAGGTCAAATCTTAATTTTATGCCTTTGATTAAGAATGCAGCATGTAAAATTATGCTGCTTAGATTTTAGGGAGGTTCTGTTGATCCATACAGATGAAACAATCCTTTTTATTGTTACTGACGCACTTCTAATTTTTCAGTGAGTCATTTTAGCTCCATGTGTGTTTGCTGAGCGTTCGTATCTGGCTTGATTATTTTGATAGAAGTTAATTTAATAGACATTTAAGTACATTTTAGGAACACTGATGGGCTGCTTAGCTGTTTGGAGATGTAGAATGGTGTATAAGGGTTACAGGCACTACTTGTACACACTTTTATTTTAAAAATTGAAAACAGACTCATATAGTATAATACAGTGCCATTTCCTGCTTTGTTATGTATTCTTTTAAATGCCCCTTGGGTGATGTCTTATAAAACAGTGTAATGTGTTGTATTTTTACACTGGGATATTGCAAAAAGTATTTGTACTCTTAAATCACCTTGTAAAGCACAATTTCTGTGTGTTGTATCAGTTCATGGTCCTTAAATTCTCATTAACTCTTATTCTGGTGAAAAATTTTCACCAGAATTGCACCCTGTTATTTATTATTTGCTGAAAAAAATATATATGTATTTTCTAGATTTGCAACACACAGAAGGACAGCTTCAAATGGAAGAATTTCCAGTGAGTATACACAGGATACACCATCGTGCTTCATGGGATAGGAAGTCTAAACTAACTGGGTAGAAGCTATGACAAAAACATGATCACTGCCAAGCTGACACTAGATGTAGGGATTTATCAGTCGTGGTATGCAATTGCCCTTTGCTGCTGCTTCTCTGTTGATTATGGTGTGAAATTGCAACTGCATACTGCTCCTAACTGTGTGAAAGAGCTCTCTCCAGAAGAGTGGCAGTGTGTCCTCCCTCAGCTGTTGTCTTGAGGGCTGCAGTATTAAGGGTGGGGAGGGACAACTGTTTGGAATTGCTCTCACCTGAAGAAGCTCTGAAGCTGGCTGCATATACTAAAAGAACTTACCTGTCATTTGGAAACAAATATCTCTATCTTTGTAACAAACTTCTGCAAGTAGTTTGATAGAGAATGAGCTAACGTTATTTTTTTTTCTTTACAGCTTCCTGATTTCCAGGCCACTTATTTGCGATTCATCATCAAATCTGCCTTTGATCATTTTGTATCTGTGCACAGGGTGATGGCAGAGGGCACAGCAGAAGATGCTTAAGTCTGGCTTAAATTTGTAATTCATCTTTTTGTATTATATTTTGATATCTCTATCACAGGAAGTATTTATTACAAGTTAGTATTAAAGTGTTTTTGAAGATACAGATGTAGTATGTGTTAGCCATCAGTTTATTGTACAGAACACAGTACTCTCATTAATTGTAATAACAGATTTTATATCTTAAAGGGTTAAAAACACTTGAATGTAACCAGGTCCATTCAAATAATTGTGTTTAGCTCAGGCTTTCTTAATACATGAATTAAAACTCAGTTTCCTCTGAGATGTTTCCCTTGCATTCTGAGTAGAAAAGGTACGAAATACTTAAATGTCAAAGAAGCTCTTCAAAAATTCTTAAATTGGAAACTTTCTCTTCAACTCAAACTGTTTAATAGGATGAATGGAAACTACTAATGCTTGTAAATAGCCAGAAGGAAAAAAACAAGTGAGAACCATGGCAGTCTGAAAGGTTTGTTTGTTTATTTGTTTAAATAACTGAGATCAATCCTTTGTTTCTAAAAATATTTTATAAAATCAGGTCACAGCTGTCTGTGCTTTATGCTGTGACTGTCATAACAAATATTATAGAAACAAATGTCAAGAGATTGTCTCATTCAGAAGCCTTCTAAAGTGAGTGAAACTGAACGTTTAGAAAAATGGTTTGTATACAAGAGAGAGAGAAACTTAATAATGTGAAATCAGTTGTTTTGCATGAAATTTGCTCTTGCAAATGGCACTACCCTTAAGGTTCATCCTGCACCGTAGGAATGTAGATGTTGGTATCCAGTCATAACAGCTCAGTGGACTCTGCTGGTATTCATTACTGCACATGGTGCAGCACAGTAAGACTGATGTAAGCACAGTAGCTGAGGTGGCTGTGATAGACCTGAACATCTCCAGACACGTGAATGATGAACCACATTACGGATGGTCTTTAAATGCACGTATGTTAGTCTCTTTCTAGTTGTTTCTAGTATTTTGAGATTTTGGTTTTTTAACTCTTAGGTCTATGAAAACTTATCCATTGAGCTTTTATATCCAGACAGTCTTTACTCTGATGTCCTCTTCTTTTTCTATTTCATTTTTTCCAGAACGGTGCGTATTTCCTGGGGGTGGTAATTCCAAGGCCCCACTCCTCCCTGCAAAGGCAATAAAATTAGACAGTGAAGCTCAAATACACAGAGCAGAAGTCTTTATAGCACAGTGGTTAAATGAGAATGGTGGGTTGGTGTGCTTGGGCTTCCTTTGCTTGGCAGCCGTTGCAGAGGGGATGGTGTGTGCACAAGTCACACCCTGCTGTGTAACTGGGACAGGGCCCATGGCTGGCTCCTGGAGCTGGGGGAGCATGCCTGGATCTTGCATTTAGATGTAGCTAGGTTTTCTAATAAGCCACAAGACAAATATTTGAGCAGGACTGAGGTGTACATCAAATATGTACATTGTGAAGGCCCAGACTGGTTTTGCTGCAAGTCCTTTTTTTTTCCCTATGCTTACAATGAATTGTGAAACGACTAGCTATGAAACAGAGTGAAATACTGACTGTTGAATAATATGTAAAACGCTCTTATTTTAACAGTTGAGGATCTCAATATGTTGTGCTCATTATTGCTGGTGGTTTTTACCTTGTAGATAACATTCCCTGCTTGAAGTATATACAGTCTTTCTGGCAGTGCTGCATATTTGGAACAGCTCAGGTTTTCCATCGTGTCTAAAACTACTGGACATAAGGGATTCTTCTGCTGAAGAAATTGTGCTGCAGTTTTTCGATCCTCAAGGCTTCTGTGATTTTTAATAACAACATTGTTTTTGAAGGCCCATCCATCTAAAACAAATGAGAAAGGCATTTGGCAATGCAGTTTAGGTGTTGAGGTAGAGATGTACTGTGTCATGTATTGCACTTTACTCCTGACAACAAAATTTGCTATGAAATGAGAAGTCCTTCTTAGAGTGTGAGAATGGTACAGCTTTGAAAATAAGTGATCCCAAGTATTTTTTCCTTTACTCTAAACAGTGTTTCCCTTTGACCTGGATTCAGAAATACTAGGTGTATTTTAGCTGAAATTTTTCCACGTAAGCCTAGAAGGATACCAGGTATGGAAGCTATAGCTCATCTGGATAAAGTTTGCCAAAATTAGTGCTGCAGAGAAGGGGGGTTTTAAATAAGAAGTCATGATATTAGCTGCTTCCTGCTCATTTAGCAATAGTACCATTCATTCAGCTTGACTTTACTCTTTAAGCCTATAAGAAAAAAATAATTTCAATCTAGGATAAATACATTGGGCAGAAGGCACATCCTCCTTCTTCAGAAATATTAAAATACATATTTGCATACAAGATCCTAGGAAAGGAGAAACATGTAAACCATTTTAATGACTGGGTGTCTGTATCTCAACTACTGTAAATAATGTATTGTTAAAAAAGTTACACCTTAGAAAACCACCTTAACCATAGGCTAACAATCTCTGCTGGTGTCTTAGCTCAGTGTAGATAAATATGTGTATGCTCTATTCACTTTGTTTTTTTTTTCCCAAAAGGAGCTGTACTAAGACCAGGAGGAAGTTTTGCACAGCTTTAACTGTATGCTTTGCTTTACAGAGATGAGTGTCTTCAGCAGCAGCGCCTCAAGTCAGATGTGTGAGTAAAATCCTTGAGGAATCAAGGGCAAAAATTGGTGCCTAGATTCAATGTTACCGTCTTTGATTCTTGATTGTTTGCAGTTCCCTCGTCTGCTAAATTACTTTTTTTCCTAAAGGGAATGTTATATATCAAAAGTTTTGGTAGGTGCTCAGGTGATGTTTGCACTGTACCTACTGCGTGAGCTTCTTCGATGTAGATGATAAGGAAATCTGCTATAGAGCTGAAATCTTTGACAAGTTTGTTGAACTCATCAAATTTTAACATAAATGAAGGTCAGGTGCAGCTTCCAAAATTGAGGATTAAAGGTCGGTTATCTGGAAGAAAAACATAGGACACTTTGTGGTTACATCAATGGAGGGAGGAAGGACAGAACTAAATACACTGAGTTGAACCTCTGCCACAGTGTTTCCTGTGTGACAAAATCATTTATCACATACTTTTCTTCCTAGGACATTAAAACTGATAGCAGAACATCTGTATCACCAGGTTTCTATACAAAACTAGGATAAGGATGCTTGCTTTTCCTTAAGCTGGCACTGACTGGTGCAGGATCCAATGGTGAGGTTAACCAGGGAGCATCCTTTCCTGTGTAACACCTAGCAAAAGCAGAATGTACCCTATAGAGAGATGTCTTCCCTTGTGTTATCATCACAAGAACCGTTTCTCAAGCTACCAGCTTTATGGGTTAGGGATCAAAAATGGATGTACAGGATGTAGCACCTCACAGCCTCCTTGACATCCTTCATATTGAAGGAATTTAAAAAAACATTAAATGTGATCATCTGGAAAATTTCTTGAAGGACACTGATTCAGAGATGGATGTCTAAGAACAAATTATGAATTCTCTTAATGAACCTTCTGGACATTTTTTTTTTGGTGGTGTCATTTGTAGCTGAGCTGAGTGAAAGCTGCAGCCCTCTCAGTCATGCATCACAGGCTTGCATGCTTTCAATGTATTTCTGCAATTTCCTGTCCAAACAGAACTTTGCTTATATATTTGTTAAACTAATGCTACCCAAACCTGGAGCAGAAGTATCTATGCAGTTGCTTACAAATTAGCACATGCGTACCCACATTTGTTGGCATCTGTTCAATTGATTGCAGGGCTTCAGTTTAAGAGAACTTGCAGGATTTTTAGTCTGTGGTCATGCTAGATTATCTCAAGTGTGTTCAAGATGTTCCTTCTGGCTGAGTTTAGCTTCACAAGCTGCTGCTAGCATAGATTTGCATCTTAAAGAAGCTAAAAAACAGGGTGCCTGTCTGTAAGTACTGTGTATGTACTGCTATTTCTATCTTGCAACTATTTTATTTCTCTGTCTCTCTTTATATATACACACAAATTAGAAAAGCAGAGTTGGAGAAGGATTTAATCCCTCCCATAGAGACAGAGGCTGCAGCTTAATGATTAATTTCACGTTCTACAGAGATTTCAGTGGGAGGCAGAGGACAAAGTACAAAGCAACTTCTGCTTAATTTCTAGCTTCTTTAAATCTGCAAAAACACCCTGTGCTTTCTAGGCTTTAGCCTGGCTTCTGGGACTTTCCGTATGTGCAGGCAATGCCAGCCAACGGTCGTGACTCACTGCATATGGTTCTGATTCTGAGTCTTATCTTCCGAAAAGAAATAATTATCTTGGCTTTCAGGATTTCTAGGTAGGGACAGGCTTTTGCAAGATCTCTATGAGCTTATTGGCGTGCAGGGATATTGTATGTGGGACAATGAGCAGGTTTCTTCAAGGGATCAAGAGGCAGAGAGCTGAGAGTGTGTGGCACAGCAGCCCAGGGTAGCAGCATTCATTTGAAGGCAGAAATGCAGTACGTTCATCGCTTGTCCCTAACCCCATGGCAGCCTCTTGTCCTCATATATCCTTTTCACAACCCCAAACCGGTACAAGCATGATGTACTGACCTCGCATGAAACTGGAGAGCTGCCGGATCTCCCCATTTAGAGCCACCACCGGTGTGTTGGGAGCAGGCTGTCCCTCATAGGCTTCGTCCTCCAGCCTCCTCCACTTCACTTTCAGCACAAAGAGCAAATACTGGAAGCTGAAAAAAGTCGGACCCCAGTTTTCGTAGCTGAACTTTGGGTTCTGATTCATTCTGCTCTTTTCTCCCAGCTTTAGGATGTATCTTTTCATGGTGTCGGGGAACAGTATCATCATGGTTTTACCAACAACAACAGACAGAGTAACCTGCAAAAGAATCAGGAGTTTGTGTAGTAGCACCCTGGTGCTGAACATCGTGCCAGAGGTCTGGCTGCTTCAAAGTGACCACAGCGTGACAGCGGGGGCAAAGGTAGTGAGATGGGAAGGAGGTGAGGGGGTGGGGAGAAATGTCTACGTGTTTGGCTGAATTTCTGCCTTGCCTCAAACTGTTCTTCACGTTTAAGTGGGCTCCAGCGCCTGCCTGAGCGAGGAGCCCGCAGCTGCACTGCCCCCATCCACAGCAAGGCAGCAACGCAGAGATTCCTGATGAGCCTGCGTGGTTATGAGCTGCTCACAGGTGTGCTGTGTACATCATTAACGAATCGGGGTGCTTTCCCCGGTTAAAAGTAAGAATTAGATCATGGAGGATGTATAAATTACATATGCACGCACGTGCATATATGTCATGTTTATTTTTGTATGATGCACTGAAACATACATTTACGTTCTCGTAGCTCTATAACCTATACGGGCAGGTACGTACGCAGTTAATACACGGACGCTGCAGCCCTTAACCCTTTCCTGGCGCAGTCCCTGCAGCGCTCAGAGCGCCGGGGCGGGCACAGCGAGACGGGCGGGCAACCCGGAATTGGGGCCGCGGTCCCTTTAAGGGGGCGGACGGAGGCGGAAGAGGAAGCGCCTCCGATTGGCCGGCGCGGAGCTTTGCGCCAATGAGTTCTTTCCTAGCCCGCCGGGTGGGCGGGAGAAGCGAGCAGCGGAGCTGCTGATTGGCTGTCACGGCGCAGTTCCTGCCGCGTCTTTAAGGGTGACGAAGGCCGCGGTTGGGCAAGCGGTTGGGGAGCAAAGGTGCGGGGCCGGGTCGGGCGGTGCGGGGCTCCCTGGGGGAAGCGGGTGAGGCGGGGCGACCTGGGGGCGAGGCGGGGCGGCCGGTGGCCTCCGTCGGCGCTGCCTGCAGAGTCGACACCGGGGGCAGCGCCGGCGGCCCGGTCAGCGGTGCTGCGAGTGCCCGGCGGTGCTGAGCGGCCCTGCGGGGCCTTGTGCTTCCAGGAGGGTGCGGGCATCGGCAGCTGCTCCTCGGCCCGAGCGGGCGGATGGCGGCGGTGGACGACCTGAAGTTCCGAGGTGAGGCTGTGCGGCTGTGGGTGCCGGGAGGGCGGCTGTCCAGAGGTGCGTCAGCTCCGTGCTTTGCGTTCCAGCTCCCTGGTTCGGGTCTGCTACACCGGATCGGTGGGAGAGGAGGGCGAACGCTTCATTAACTAAATAAGCGTTTGGAACGTGTCAGTTTGGGTTTTGAGAAACACTTGGTTGTGCTTCAGGTGTCTGGACTGTCGATGCATCCTTTCTTGGGAAGTGTGGGGGTCTAAATGTAACCTAATCATCACCTTTCCTGTAACATGCTTATTTGCAGAATTTGACGATGCAGCTCATTTGCTTGCAGCAAATCCTGATGCCACCACGATAAGCATTGATGAGCCAGCAGAAGCCCATAAGAATCAGCACAGCCGTCGGCAGGAGCCGGGGAGAGAGGAGGACGATGAACTGCTGGGGACCGACGACTCGGATAAAACAGAGGTAATGCTCTCCCATCAGCAGTGCCCCATCAGCAGTGTCCCATCAGCAAGCACGCAGGTGGAGCTGACAACGCTGAGGTATTCCTAAAGGACAGCAGGGATGAATGCTGAGTGCTTTAAAACTCGGCTTCTCTGCTATCACAACGCTGTGTTTGTTTCTGCCAGTTTTGCTGTGAGGTTGGTGCCTCCCCCAGGAAAGCAGGGAGCTTTGAAATGCCCAGGGTTTGTCTGAAGGCTCTGCTGATGCAGCTGTCAGTCAGCACAAAGGTGCTTGTGGTATAGAGGAAAACGTGTTATAAATAATGTGTTGAAAGGTGGCATCTTTCTGCTCTTTAGAACACCAGACCACTGTTCTACTTGCAGGGAGATCACTAGCTGCTGCTAACAAAGTTTGGAGGAGGAAAGGAAAACTGTTAAGTAGTTCATAGAAAGCACTAATAGGTATTTCCCTGTTAATTTTGTTTTTTGCCTGGGTAGAAAAGTGATTTAATTATTGTGTAAATGAACCAGTGATTTATAAATGGCATGTTTGTAACATTTTCCATGTTGCTTTTCCCACCATACAGCTGCTTGCGGGACAGAAGAAAAGTGCCCCTTTCTGGACGTTTGAGTACTACCAGACGTTCTTTGATGTTGACACCTACCAGGTTAGCACTCCACTCTCAAGGAGAACTCGTTCGAACCATGTCATACCCAGCCATAAAGGATCTTTTCTTTTGTCATTTTTGGTCAGACAAACCTGTGTGTTTTCATAGGTCCTGGACAGAATCAAGGGTTCGGTTTTCCCAGTGCCAGGAAGGAACTTTGTAAGGCTGTATGTCCGCAGCAATCCCGACCTCTATGGTAGGTATGAGGTGTGATAAGTTCCCTTCTGTGCTAAATGTTTTGAGTTTGTATTCTACTTGCTCTTCCTAAAGAAGTTATGAGGGCAGAGGAGCTGTTAGTGAAATTGTGTTTCTTTTTAAGGTCCCTTTTGGATATGTGCTACACTTGTCTTTGCCATTGCTGTTAGTGGCAATCTCTCAAATTTCTTCATCCACCTGGGCAGGCCGACGTACCGCTATGTGCCCGAGTTCAGAAAAGGTTTGTGAGTATATGATATGTTCTTGAGGGTGTGTTGTTGTTGTTGTCTGTTTTTAATGTGCTAGTGCAGTAACACAAAAACAGGCTGTAGCTTTTATTTAGTAGTCTTGTTGGTTGATTCTGTCAATTTTTAAGAGATGGCAAAATAAGCACTGAAAGTGACTGAAGTCACTTGAATAGTTTTGGATCTGACAGTCATGTCTATATTCTCAAATGTTCTTATTTTTCAATATCTAAAGCTGAACTTCTTTTTTAAATTAATTTATTTTTAATTTTTTCTGTCTCTTCACACTGAGAATGACAGCATTTCATACTCAAGTGTAATAAATTGAAAACAGCAAAGTAATCATTTCTGGAGTCTTTACTTTTTAATTAACTTGAAACGCTGGCAAAAGTACTGGGTGTAAAGTGGACATAAATGCAAAATTCTCAATTTATGAATAACGAATGCTTTACATTTTGAAAGTAATTTCAAAGGAAACTCTCAAGTTTTCAGGCTTAATGCTTCTGTACATTTGATTCTGGCTAGTGTTCTAATAGAACCTTAAATCTTCTGATATGTTTACAGTCTCCATAGCAGCAACAACGATTTATGCATACGCTTGGCTTGTTCCCCTTGCTCTCTGGGGATTTCTGATGTGGAGGAACAGTAAAGTTATGAACATTGTCTCCTACTCTTTCCTGGAGATAGTGTGTGTATATGGCTACTCCCTTTTCGTCTATATTCCCACAGCGGTACGTATGGCCTAAAGGCTGCTGGCAAGGTTGGGGATTGGGGTGTGCCCTCCCAGGCTGCAGGCGTGGATGGATGTGTTGAGGGCAGTGCTGATGCACAGGCTCGGAGGATAAAGTTTCCTTGGCCAGCACCGTCCTGGGCTGCTCTGGTGAGGGGGAGGCCAAGGAGGAGGTGCCCAGAACTTGGGAAACACGAACTTGTCATGGGCAGCAGCTCCTTGTTGCTGCGGCTGCTGTTGTTCTTTCTTCAAATGAGGCATGGGATAATTTGAGAGCAAATTGGCTGGAAGTGATGAAATGTCAGAGAACACAATGCATTAAATAAACGAATCCCAGCTTCCCACAGCTGACAGTCATTTTCCTCCCTGACAGATCTTATGGATTATTCCACAAAAAGTGGTGCGCTGGGTCCTGATGATTTTTTCCCTGTGCCTTTCGGGCTCTGTTTTGGTGATGACCTTCTGGCCTGCTGTCAGAGATGACAACCGCAGGATTGCGCTGGCAACCGTGGGGACCATCGTGCTGCTTCACGCCCTGCTGTCTGTTGGCTGCTTGGTAGAGGACTCTTATTTCTTTATTTTTCCACCTGCCTCTGTAGCTTGTTATTACCTGAGGCTTGAAGCATGGTATAATACAGGGAGGGATGCTGCAGGAAAATCTTTTTAAATCAAGAAACAAGAAGTACTTGTGAAAAAAAACACCCTTTAATCATGTCAAATAGCAGAACTTATTGCCCATGGGACTTTGACAATGCAAGTAGCAAACTCAATAATGAATATTTAGCACAAAACTACCCAGAAAACAGATTTTTTTATCTGGAGTTAATTCACTATTCAACATGAATCTTTGTTGTATCTAGTCACTGATTATTCCAACAAGTACTATATTCATTAATCACATAAAATTATTGAACGTTCAGTATATACTGCATGCTTCTGAGTCCTATGTGTGAAAGCATAAACTTGCTAGAGATTAGTAAATTCACATTATGAAATCAGAAGGCTTTAATGCTACTGAAATCTATAACAACAATAAATTAAATTATTTTTTTGTCCTTTAATTGCACTGAGTGGAATTAGAACTGAAACCTGTATGGTATGACCCCCCCACTTCAGCCTCTAAATAGATTTGCTCAGCATGCAGATAGAGGGTAAAATGCAACTCTGATGACAGCAGGAGCTCCTGTTACCACAGGTTGCATGGAGCCTAATCATTTAATCAGCAGTCAGTTGAGTAAATTTCTGCTGCCCTGTCTGGTATTGGTCTTTTCAAACACCTTAGCTGTTGACCGTGATACTGCAAAATCCAATTTGGAGTCTCATTTTATCTGACCATATCAAATCTGATAAAAACTCTTAGAACTGAAAGATTCAGATTTGTTGTTTCAATACTGTGCTTGCAGCTCATGGATGTGGCAAGAGTGAATGGGGGCAGATGAGACAGAACCATTTGTTTCTTCCTAAACGGTGTTTTTTTCTTCCTTTGCAATAATTTAGGCATACTTTTTTGATGCCCCTGAAGTGGATTTTCCTGCACCTATTATCCCTGCTCACAATGGAACAACGCTGATAACAAAAGTTAAGTAAATAAGGTAAGATTATAGATTTCTTATCTAAGCATCTAAAAACGTAATCCTGTCATTAGGGAACACAGGTCTTGAAACATCTCCCTTGCTACTGTGGCTGAGGGTTGAACACACGAGCTCTGCCAAACGGGGGCTGTGTATAAATACCATTTATTGCTATTCCTGCCAGCTGGAATTTTAAATGATGGCTATGAAAATGTAAAAGACTGAGAAACAAAGACAAGAAGTTATTTAACAACGAGTTAGGCCTAATCGTGCACGCCCAGAGCTTCTGAGGAGCCGTGAGCTCACAGGAGCTGCTTCTCTCTTTCAGGTCGTGCTGTTTCTCCACCAGTAGCTTTATTTTTTCACTGAAGAACGGGACGCGTTTGTGCAGAAGAAGCCCTGCGGCACCCACGAGCTCACAGACTGCTGGTCTGGGCACGGGGGCCGCGCCCGGTGCCGTACGTGCCGTTCGGTCTCCCTGCCGTCCGGTTGCGCCGGAATAAAGCGATGTGAAAGCTCCGCGCGCCGCTCGTTTCTCCGCCTGCGCCGCGCGGGGGATGCCGGGACTCGCAGTCCTCACCGCGTTGCGCGCCCGCGCCGCTTCCTGTCGGGAGTGGGCGGGGAAAAGCGGCGTCGCGCGCTTCCTATTGGCTGCCCCGGGCTTCCCGCCGTGCTGCGCCGGAAGCGGCGTGAAGGAGGCGGCCGTTGGGCGG